GCACTTGAAGCAGCATGGGAAGCTGCCTGCAGGGTTAAAGGGGCAACTGTGGAAATCCCTTCAGGATTCAAGTTCCTCATCCAGCCTATAACTCTTAATGGCAGCGGTTGTATGCCTGACCTTGTTCTTCAGGTTTATTTTGTTTTCTCTCTCTTTTTTTCTTGTCACTTTATCAGATTTCAGTAACTATATATTTCATGCTGCATTAGGAAATAATAAAGAAATGAAGAAGTGTAAGAAGTGAATATGCTTCTTTCACTTAACCATGCTTTAACATGCAAAGCTAACTAATAATATTAATGTGATTTTGGAATTCCAACAGATAGATGGAACTCTCTTGGCTCCTTCAAAAGCAAGTACCTGGCCAGAATCCAGTTTGTTGCAATGGATAAACTTCAAATACGCTCGTAACTTCACCGTCCAGGGCACTGGCATTGTTGATGGCCAGGGCTCTGACTGGTGGAATTCACAAGCGCAGAAGAGGTCCAAGCACACTCCGGATACGAAACCCACTGTAATTATTTCTCTTTCGAGCCTTTTCCTCCTTCTCATTATAAACTGTTTGAAAAGAAATCAAAAATCAGATGCAATGCAACATGGTTTTAAAGGCTCTCTCTCTTTTCTTATTTCTACATGCAGGCTTTGAGATTCTATTGTAGCTCAGAGGTCACAGTTCGAAACATCAAAATCATAAACAGCCCTCAGTGCCACTTAAAATTTGACAACTCTTCGTGGATCAAAGTGAACAACATTACCATCACTTCACCAGATTATAGCCCAAATACAGACGGCATTCACTTGCAGAACACACAAAACGTGGAAATTCACCATTCTACTATTGGCTGTGGTAAGTAAGAATAATCAAGCCATAATTAATATCCTTCTGTTTTTATAAATAATTGAAAAATAAAAATAAAAGTGGAAAATGTGTGCTAAAAAAAGTAGTCAGTGCCCAGTGCCTAGATGGTGCATTGCGCACTTGGAATTGTACTGAAAAAGATAGGTAGGTCACTGGTACGAGGAAGAAAATCATTTATAAACTGGTGCCTCATAAACTTTTTTAAACTGTAAACTGTCACTCAAGAATAACTTTTGAAGCAAGCAGGGATTTGCAGGTCACAATAAAAACAATGTGCAACTTGCCAACTTGACTTCTGTATGCCTGATATTTGAGCTCCACATTAATAAAATCCTAAAATTTGTGGTTTCTCTCTTTATACAGGAGATGACTGTGTATCCATACAAACAGGATGCTCTAACGTTCATATTCATCATATTAAATGTGGCCCTGGCCATGGCATAAGGTATCCCATATACATATACATTGACCCTTTTTAGATCTTAGTTTAAATTTCAATAGAAAACATATGAGTTTTTTTTTTTATCGAGGATGCATAAAATTTTGTTTTCTTTCTTTCTTTCTTTCTCATATTACAGTCTAGGAGGACTCGGAAAAGCCGGAAGTGTAGCTTGTGTCTCAAACATCATCGTGAACAACATTTCATTTGAGAATACTCAATCAGGAGTTAGGATCAAGACTTGGCCGGTACGTATAATTAAAGTTGATAATTAATTACTTACTAATTAAATCCATATGTTATTAAATCCTTAATTTGGGCAGGGGGGAAAGGGGTCCGTGAAGAATGTATCATTCTCCAACATCCAGGTTTCCAATGTGGGCGTTCCTATAGTGATAGACCAAAACTATTGTGACAACATGAAGAAGCATTTGTGCCAGAACCAAATTAGAGGAGCTGTGGCAATCTCAGGTGTTAAATACGATAATATAATTGGGAATTATTCAAAGGAGCCTATTCGTCTAGCTTGTAGCAATGACACTCCATGCACAGATGTGGATCTTATTGATATCCAGCTTAAACCCACAACCGGGGACCCGAGATCACTTCGATCTGATTTGTGTCGAAACTCTTATGGGAAGTCAAAAGCTCCCTTGCTTCCTTCAGTCATAGACTACTGCTTGAGAAGGGATGGGGGTCAAGTCAAGCATATAGCAAGGTCACATGAGAAGATGTGTTAGAAAGATTTATTTGATTTAGTGGCTTCTTTGAGCTTCCCTTCTACAAAAATATTTACAATTATGTTTGAAGGTGATGGATGGTATAAAAAGATATTAAAAAAATTTATGTTTTCTGTGGTATTGTAGTGTAATTCAGTTCGAACTTTGTATGAAATAATAAATAAAATAGTTTCTTTGTTCTGAGTAAAAGGGTCTAAAAGCTTCCAAGCTTGAATTGTTTATTCAAATTTGTGTTGTGTCCACTTTAGAACGAGAAACCAGAACCAGATCGACCCGTTTGAGTGGGTGACTTAGGTTTTGATAGTGGAAGAGGAGGTGGGTGCTGGCACCGTCCAACGCAGCCTTTAGGCCTCAATGCACGCGCATGGCCTAAAAACTTTTGCACAGATAATAAAGATGATGTCTTTACTTTCTGTCTCTTGATCATTCATCAAATATAGTATTTGTTTACAGACTCACTTGTTCATCTCCACTCTTAGCCTACATCTTTCTCAAGTTTTATTTTATTTTCAATCGGAAAGTCATTGTTTATTAGCTGACAGAGATTTTGGTAACTTGTAGAGATATGCAACAGTTAAGTTTCTCTTAGAAGAGCTCAAAATCACAACGGATCAGAAAGATTTCTTCTGCTTCCTTGGGTTTCAATTTTCATCATGCACCTACTCATGATATGAGAAAAAGTGTGAACCGATCCAATTGGTTCCTCAAAATTCTTTGACATTGGTTCAAGCATATATAGCTAGCTACTCATGATATGATGCAGTCTGCTTAGTGATCACGTCCTTGAGTCTCTCCTCGCCATGTTACATGTTTTTCCATATTGGCTAAGAAGAGTTGTGATTTTGATGGGAAACTTTCCTCTTCTCGACTACAAAGTCTGGAATTTTATTGTTTGGCCGATGGCCATTTGGCAAAGAATGACTTAGATAAATGATGGGCTTGCAGTTGTATAAAACCGGAAGGCCATACCAAACAATAAGGGTCCGTTTGGTGAGTTGGATTATATACTTGGATAGGATTCATAATCCTCGTCAAATGTTTGATGGCCTAAAAACAACATGGATTGGATTATGTCTAATCCTACTACAAGCCAAATGTAGTATGATTATACCTACCAAAATGTTGGGATTAAGTCAGATTTGGAGTATGTCTAATCCTTCGTGTAATAGCACATTTCAATTAATTCAACCCCATAATCATGTATGGTATCAAACACATCATTGGATTAGTGTTATTATTTCCAATTCAATATGTAATCCAATGCAATCCAATTCTACCTCATAATCCAATCCAATCTCAGTCACCAAACATGTCCTCAACTATAAGTCAAGAATCACAACATTTTGTTCCCATTTCCTTGGAAAATATGGGAAAACATGTAAGATGGTGACTGAAAATGGAAATTGTAGAAAAGGAAAAGAAGACGAAGTGGGCAACAATTTATTACCATGTGGGCTGTATGTGGCAGCTTATATATGGTTGAACCAATGCGAAAAACGTTTGACGAAACCAAAGAGATGGCTTCACTTCATCTTGAAAAAATATTGTGGCTTGTCGATATGATGCTATGAAATTATTTATTTGAATCGTAGTAGCTTTGAATGTGATTTAATATTTAATATTATACAATATTGTATGTGTTAAATGAATGAAAATTCAATTGTTTCATTGGTTTAAAGTAAAATTTGTTATTACAATGGGTGTCACTGTCAACAAGCAGCTCATCTCTTTGTCACTGCTCTTTCTTGCCTTCCTCTCAGGCCACGCTGATGGACAGGGCATGGATCTATGCGCCGGAGCTAACTACGAAGCCCTCTGCCACTCAGTTGTGGGAAGAGAGAAAAGCCCATATGTCGCCGCGGAGGCAACTGTCAACCGACTGATTTCAGAGACAAAGCAAGCAATAAGTTCGGCTGCTAAGCTTCCCCAAAAGGACTCTCCAACTTGCACGTACGTGTATGACGAAGCCCTTTACAGCCTCAAGGAGAGCCTGCGGAGTCTCAAGAGTCATGACATAGGCAGCTTCAACGTCAAACTCTCTGCGGTTATGAGCTTCGTCGAGGCATGCAAAGACTCGTTTGCGGAAATGGAGAAGCCATTCCCCATTGCCAAGCAGAATGAACTCATCAAACACATTGCCAGCAATGCTTTGCATATAGCAACATTCATTCCCTGAAGACGCCGCTGTGATTATTCATGGATTAGCCTAAAATAATTTGTAATACATATATGAGATGAAGAAATTAAGTGAGGTTATCAAATAAAACTTTATCAATAATATAAAACTAAATAAGTTATGGTCACATCGCTACGTGATGTTACTATTCATGTTATCAATTATGAAGTTCACCTTATACTCATACATTTTTCTCAAAGTACTCAAGCGCATATACCCATTTAATTATACAAAATCAAAGGTTTCGAGCACCTACATTTTTCAAAAAAATTCAAATTTTGCTTTTGAACCAAGAAGCTTATATTAATTTTAAGTTTTTATAAATTTTAATATTTTGATTAATAAGAAAGGGCTTAAATTTTGATTTCGTTGTGTAAAAAGAGTTGATGGGTTAATGAAGAAGCAAAACTAGCTGGGCCCAGCAAGGCATTGCTGATTCTTATCAAGAATACCCATAGCCCAAACAAACAGCGGAAAGGTCCATAATATGGCGCAAAACTTTTTGGTTTATTTGGTCGTATATGCCCAAAAACTGTCAAACATTTGGGAATCTAGTCTCTTGTGTTTTCTAGGCTTACATTAGGAGGATGATGGTCAAGGCTTTTGATGAGTAGAGTCTAGAGAGGTAGGTAAATTTCATGCCAAATTGAATGTTCAAGTCCAAATCATCATCAAGTTGTTTGGTGCATAATTCTAGCTCCTTATTGGACTTAAATTGCTTTGGTTTTGCTTTGGCTCTGTTAGGCAATATAAAAATCACCCATTTGAAACAAATGTTTGACACAATTAACCACATAAACTTTCTTGCTTTAACAAATATTGACACCTAAAGGAAACTTTTCATTTTGCTTAAACTAAAACAGTACTTGATCAACTTTAAAAGCTATAAACATGCAGAGATTTCCGAGCTTTTTGTGTCTGAAGCTTCACACATGCGGTGGTGAAGTCTCATCAGAGGGCCTGGTTACAGAGTCATGTTTTCCTCTTTCACTTCTGCTGTTCTCAGCAAACTTTACACTTGCCTGATGAAACCCTTTGTCCTTCTCCTTCGAACTCCACTCAGACACGTAGTAGTCTTCTTCTGTGAGCTTCTTTTCAGATGGACCAGAGAACATGCCACCCCATTGTGGGAAGTAAATCAAAGTCATTGGGAGGGTACAACAGATGATCATGATCCCCATTAGAGTTATGCCTGTTTCTTTTGAATATTTTGATCCTTTGAAGAATATCAGTTGGGTCAGAACCGCACCCACATTTCCACCTCCTCCTGTCATACCAGATATGACCCCTAATGATCTGAAAAAAAGTATGGAAATTGTGTCGCATGATTACACAATAATGTAGCTACTAAACAATGTAACGTGTCAAAGTTTTCATCTCTCCACTCTGACAGTTGAGGTAGAGGGGGTCAACATAAATTTCTTTCATGAAAACTAACACTTCGATCGATGTTTCTAACTTTCTGTGATCAATTAGCTATTCTCTGCTACATAATTAATATTGCTTGACTTGCTTTTAGTTAGCAAATCTTTCTCATGAAAAAAAAAACCTAGGGAAATTGAAAAACTTAAATTATCGAATAAATATTTGTGAAAAAAATTTACCTTCTCGAGACAAAAGGAACCACCCCAAATGTAAGCCCACAAGCACCTTGGACAAAGAAGGAGAACAAAATCATCACAGCAATGGATGCAGTCAAAGAATTCACCTGCCCAAGAATAACACAGAGGACACCTCCAAAGGTTTGTACAATCCACAACGTCCACAACCTGCCCCTCATCCCAAACCTCTTTGCCACTACATCTGACAGAATCCCTCCTCCAGGCCTAGAAACAATATTTGCCAATCCAAAAGTTGCTGCTATGATCCCTGCAGTATGGAGATTCAGATTGAATCTGTCATAAAAGTACTCTGCTATTATGTTGTCCACTGCCAGCTCAACCCCAAAGCAATATCCATAAGTCAAAGCCAAAATCCACCCTCTGTAATTTGTAACCCCATGATAGAAGACGCTTGAGAATTTGTCTTTTGGCTTCTCCCCAGATTTCTGCAGGCCATGGAAGTTCCCGTCTGGCATGTCCTCACCAAATATCAGAATAAGAAATGCTGAAAGCGCCTGAAACAGGGCAGGGATGAAGAAGGCGATCCTCCAAGCTGTGAACTTGGCAGCGCCAATGTTCTTGATGACGTCAAAAACAAGGGGCATGATCAGCTGCGTTGCTCCACCACCCAAGTTTCGCACTCAGAGAGAGAAGAGAGAAAGAGAGAGAGAGAGAGAGAGAGAGAGAGAGCAAAGTGGCACGTGAGAGGGAATGGATGGACATGGGAGCGCACGTGGGAACAGTGGTAGGGTGGAGCCAGCCAAGCTCCTCTGGAAAATGATTTGATTGAAGAGAGTCACTGCTATCATCAGTATTCAGTATGAGAGAGAGAGAGACAGAGAAAGGTGAACTTGTGATTAGACCAGAGAGGGTACTGAAACAGAAAGAGAGACGGACACGTGGCTTCCTACTAATTGATCCAATAACAATATCGTTTTCAAGTTAAACATTTACCTAGTCCTGTAGCGTGCGATTTTCTTACAAAATGTCTCAAAATAGTACTTCTAATAGGCTCACTTTCATTCTTACAAAATGTCTTAATTACAACAGTACTCCACGAAACTTTAGTCAAATCTTATTTTGTCACCCAAACTTAAAATAGCCCACTTTCATTCTTTTATCAAGATTTGGTGACCCACATTGCCCCTGTTGTCAATTCAATCTAAAAATTTGTTAACTTTGATAACGTGACAGGGGAGTTTTTGTAATTTCATACACACGGATCATTATCCAGCAATTAGGTGAGTGACGTGGCAAGTGGACCCACCTCCACATAGATAAAAATATAATTAAATATTATAATAATTAAAAATAACTAAAAATTAAAATAAATCAGAAAAAATATATTCAAATTATACGGAGTTTCACTAAAATACCCAAAATGGGGGCTAAAATTATAAAAATACCCAACACCCAAAACACTTTATAAACATACCCAAAACTCATCATTACACACATACCCAAAACCCATTTTGAGTATGTTTCTATGTTTAAATAGTGCTTGGGTATTTTTATAAATATCTATAATTAAAAACCCTACCCAATCGCCCTAATCCTCTTACCCACCCACCCACCATCTACCGACCACCACTCATGCCTCCTTGCGTCGCAAGTTTATAGCTTCGCCGACCAAAGAGAGAGAGAGAGAGAGAGAGGGATGTTAGATTGACATCTCTCTCCAAACCAAGAAAAAAAGAGATAAATCAAACAAACAAAAAAACAAATGAGAAAAAGAGAGAGAAACAGTGGCGGACCCAAACTTTCGTTCATCTGAGGGCTTAAAAAAATTCAACCAATATATAATCAAACAAAAAATATTTCAAACTTTGAATATTAATAGCATTGTCTAATAAGTAAATTTACAATTGTACTCAACTTTTCGTATTCTGAAAACGTTGCATAATAAGTTCATTATCAATACTATTAAATATGTCTTTTTCAATATATACTACCAAGCAATCATTCATCCATTAGTCTTCCATTCGACTACGCATTCTGTTCTTCACAATGTTCATAGCAAAGAATGTCATTTCTACTGAAGTTGTTGCAACTAGAAGTGTTAACGTCAATTTTATGAGAAGATAAACTAGTAGATATGCCTTGTCCTTTTTTGTCTCAACTAGTTTTTTTGCAAGAACAGCAATACCTTGTAATTCTGAAAAGTTGGTGTTGGAATGCATATCATCAATATAAGTTTGAAGTTGATCTTTAAGTACCTCAAATTCTTGTGTAGAAAAATCATTCGGGTAAAGTTGAGCAAGCCGAATATAATGAAATTAGTTTGTAAAAAACAACTAAGTACTAACCTGTAAAATCAATTGAAGTAGCGAGTTTGATTTGTTGGGCTGCAGACTTTTGTCAAATAACGAGTTTGGCGGCTGAGTTCTCCACAAAATTACAAAATGAGTGAACTTGGTGGGATCTCTATTCTTATTTTTTAACATAGGGTTTAGGGTTTTTCTTTTTTGATATAGGCTTTGAGCTTAAAGTGTATGTATTGAATGAGCTATGTGGGGGCTTTACTTGAGAATGACCTAAAAATAATTAAAAATAATGAATTTAAGTGGGATTATGCGGCTGAAGCTTTTTTTGTAAGGGTGGGCAGTTGCCCATAGTTGTCCTTGATTGGGTCCGCCAGTGCGTTGACCCAAAAAATAAAAAAAACTAAACTAAACTATAACCAGTTTTAACAACAAAGACAAAATCTAACTAACTACCTTATAGAATCACACCAAAAGTCATTAAGACGACCATCGCTAATCTTAATGGATAGTTTAAGCTCATCATAATAACCATTGTTCACCATATTCGTCAACTATTTAAGATTGTGTTCAAAGCAATCCATAGACTCCAAATTCCCTCCCTCAACTCGGTATCATCAAGCAATGTGGGAAATTGCTTTTGTTGGGAGAACAAATACGTCCACGGCCATAAAACAACACCATCAGTAACTGCACAATTCCTTTCAAATACTGTTTTTTGCATTTTGTCCAGCAACTTTTACAAACACCACATTTATAGGTGGCTCGTAAGGATCAAAATATAAATACTCCTCATATAATTTTTGAGAAATTTTATAATTAAACTTGAAACTATAAAAACAAATCGCAGAACCAATGACCCCATTTCGTTTATCATTTTTACGATGAAACGTTTCAACGAACTCAAACTTCTTTCTCTGGTCCTCCATTTACCGAAAAGAATTCTTAGCAATGAGAGTAATCTGCAAGAAAAGATAGAAACAAACAAACATATAATCCTTTTAATCACCTAGCCAGCAAGCAAACAAATTGCAATGCACTTTAGCCTTCCAAATCAGCGTCCTAAGTGATGTTGCATATCCCACATGATTAATACTTATATTAATAAATTTGTGACATGTTGTTTTAACATAAAAGCATTAAAAAGCAAGATTAATTTTACACTTATCAGCAATTGAATCATGATTCACATCTATTACCTTACCTTAGTAATGCTAGATTTGATTATATTCACGTATTTCAAATAGATTGTAAAACCTAAAATGGCTCACGATCACAATTAGGTTTTCATGTTTTAAGACTATTTGCTTTTAAGCTTTACTTTCTTTTTCACTCACTTCCCATCTATTGTCTTTCTTTCTCACGTCATGTTTATTTGAATATAATTTGATCGTCTTTTATATTTCGTCTCACGTTTTTGGAAATAAAACATAAAGCTAAAATAGCTCATATCATCATTGGTTTTGCATTTTAGTACCGCAGTTTCATTTTCACTCATCTGCTCACCTCTTATATTTCCTTCTTAGATCACCTTTTTGGAAACAGAATTGAAGCCTCTTGTCTATGTTATTCTCACATTTTGTCTTTAGAACCTAAATGTAAACCTAAAAATAGCTCACATCATCATTGGTTTTGCAGTTTAATACTGTCGTTTCTTTTTCACTCATCTTCTCACCTCTTTTCTATATTTCTCATGTCAGCTTTTTGGAAATATAATTTGAACCTCGTCTTTGTTCTTCTCACATTTTGTCTTTAGAAATCGAATATGAAGCTAAAAATAGCCCACATCATCACTGGGTTTGCAGTTTAATATCTTCGTTTCTTTTTCATTCATCTGTTCACCTATTGGCTTTCCTTCTCAAATCACCATTTTGGAAATATAATTTGAACCGCGTCTTTGTTCTTCTCACATTGTGTCTTTAGAAATCGAATATGAAGCTAAAAATAGCCCACATCATCACTGGGTTTGCAGTTTAATATCTTCGTTTCTTTTTCATTCATCTGTTCACCTATTGGCTTTCCTTCTCAAATCACCATTTTGGAAATATAATTTGAACCGCGTCTTTGTTCTTCTCACATTTTGTCTTTAGAAATCGAATATGAAGCTAAAAATAGCCCACATCATCATTGGTTTTGCAGTTTAATATCTTCGTTTCTTTTTCATTCATCTGTTCACCTATTGTCTTTCCTTTTCAAATCACCTTTTTGGAAATATAATTTGAACCTCATCTTTCTTCTTCTCACATTTTGTCTTTAGAAACTGAATATGAATTAAGCAAAAAATAGCCCATATCATCATTGGTTTTGCAGTTTAGTGCCACTGTTTATTTTTCACTTATCTGCTCACCTCTTGGCTTTCCTTCCCATATCACCTTTTTGGAAATAGAATTTGAACTTCATCTTTCTTCTTCTCACATTTTGTCTTTAGAAATTGAATATGAAGCTAAAAAATAGCCCATATCATCACTAGTTTTGTAGTTTAGTGCCACCGTTTCTTTCTAACTCATATGCTCACCTCTTGTCTTTCCTTCTCATATCACCTTTTTGGAAATAGGATTTGAACCTCTTGTTCTTCCCACATTTTTTCTTTAGAAATTGAATGTAAACCTAAAAAATAGCTCACATCATCACTGGTTTTGCAGTTTAATACTGTCGTTTCTTTTGCACTCATCTTCTCACCTCTTTTCTTTCTTTGTCATGTCAGTTTTTTGGAAATATAATTTGAACCTTATCTTTCTTCTTCTCACATGTTGTCTTTAGAAATTGATTATGAAGCAAAAAATAGCCCATATCATCATTGGTTTTGCAGTTTAGTGCCACTGTTTATTTTTCACTTATCTGCTCACCTCTTGTCTTTCCTTCCCATATCACCTTTTGGGAAATAGAATTTGAACTTCATCTTTCTTCCTCTCACATTTTGTCTTCAGAAATTGAATATGAAGCTAAAAATAGCCCATATCATTACTAGTTTTGCAGTTTAGTGCTACCGTTTCTTTCTAACTTATATGCTCACCTCTTGTCTTTCCTTTTCAGATCATCTTTTTGGAAATAGAATTTGAACCTCTTGTCTACTTTCTTCTCACATCTTTTCTTTAGAAATTGAATGTAAACCTAAAAATAGCTCACATCATTACTGGTTTTGCAGTTTAATATCTTTGTTTCTTTTTCACTCATCTTCTCATCTCTTTTCTTTCTTTCTCATGTCAGCTTTTTTGGAAATATAATTTGAACCTCATCTTTCTTCTTCTCACATTTTGTCTTTAGAAATTGAATATGAAGCAAAAAAAAATAGCCTATATCATCACTGGTTTTGCAGTTTAGTGCCAATTTTTATTTTTCACTCATCTGCCCACCTCTTGTCTTTCCTTCCATATTACCTTTTTGGAAATAGAATTTGAATTTCATCTTTCTTCTTCTCACATTTTGTCCTTAGAAATTGAATATGAAGCTAAAAATAGCCCATATCTTCAATAGTTTTGCATTTTAGTGCCACCCTTTCTTTCTAACTCATATGCTTCTCATATCACCTTTTTGGAAATATAATTTGAACGTCTTGTCTATTTTCTTCTCACATTTTTTATTTAGAAATTGAATGTGAAGCTAAACATATCCCACATCATCACAAATTTTTTAAGTTTAATACCTTCTCACACATATTCTCACCTCGTCTTTTCTTCTCACATTCTATCTTTAGAAATAGAATTTTGAAGGCTACAAATAACTCACATCTTCACACACAAGTTTCGAAGTTTAGACGAACTTTGAGTTTTAGCACCGCTTCTTTCCTTTTCATCTTCTCACCCTTTTAAGTCACTTAAATTAGATTTTGAAGGCTACAAATAACTCACATCTTCACACACAAGTTTCGAAGTTTAGACGAACTTTGAGTTTTAGCACCGCTTCTTTCCTTTTCATCTTCTCACACTTTTAAGTCACTTAAATTAGAATATAAACGATGTGTCTTACGTCGGTGCATATATATATATATATATATATAACATAACACACACACATGGATTTTTATTTGGTTGAACGAATGCGAAACTGGGAAATGTGAGGATTTGGGAGGGAAATCAATGATTCATCAATTGTAAAGCATGCTTTTAATTTTAACCTTTTTTCTTTTTTGGTTCTTTTGGTGAACAACTTTATTCTACTGGAGTCTCACCCTTTCAATGCCGCTTGAAGATGCAGGAGAAATTAAATTGAATTGATCAAAAGACGTGGAGGGTAGTGGTTGGCAAGGAGTGTGTTCCAAGTTTTGATTGTAACGTTTGGTGGAATTAAGCTTCACAAATGCCAAGGATTTTGGAATTTAACGAACAAGTTGTGTTTAGCATTGACTTCAAGTTTTTGCTTTGTTGTTTCTTTCTTTTGAGTTGTTGTCTTTGTTGGGACTCTCAGGGAAAATAAACATATCTGCACTCAATTAATCAAAATAACATGCAAGCCTACCAGAGATCTAAGTAACAATCTAGGCACTCGAAAGAGAGAGAGAGAGAGAGAGATTTTTGTGTGTTATTTTTATTTTCATCTTTTCATTTAATTTATTTTTTAAATTGAATTTATTTTTAAGTCTTTGTTGATATTTGATTCTAACTAAGCAGAAAAGTATGTAGGTCGTCCGTACGTGAAAAGTCATCACTTAACATAATTTTTTATATAGCCAAAGCTAACAGCAGACGCCAAAGCCACATTGCAAAAAAATTCCAAATATCAGGTACTTAATTGTTAAAAAAATAATCGGAGCTTTGGAGCAGTTGCCACAGAGGGATGGAATCCAGTACAATTCCTCTTTTTCAAGTTGTAATGGACATTTGACTTTGGAGCTTTGACTTATTTACACATGGCATAGTGTGGATGGTGAAGGATATGAATCGTTTGAGGGGCTTCTGGCGTTGATCCCTTAACCATCTCAACCACAGAAAATCTAAGTCATAGTGAGAAACTTAACAGCAATTGAATAAAATCTATTACCTCAGTAATGCTAGAGTCCAAGAAGTTGAAGATTCAATTATATTCACGTCTATCAATAGATTTTACAATCTAAAAATCTAAAAATGGCTGGCAATCCCAATTAGATTTTCAAGCTCTAATAATATTGCTTTTAAGCTTTACTTTCTTTGTCACTCACCGTCTTATTTATTGTCTTTTCTTCTCTTATTGCATTTATTGAAATAGAATGTGATCGTCTTGTCTTTTTCGTCTCACATTTCGTCTTTAGAAATAAAATATGAAGTTAAAATAGCTCACATTATCACTGGTTTTAAAGTTCAGTATCGTCGTTTCTTTTTCACTCATTTACTCACCTCTTATCTTTCCTTCTTAGATGACCTTTTTGAAAATAGAATTTGAACATCTTCTTTACTTTCTTCTCACATTTTTTTCTTTAGAAATTGAATGTGAAGCTAAACATATCTAGCATCATCACAATTTTTTTAACTTTAATAATGATATTTCTTTCTCACCTTGTATTTTCTTCTCAAATTCTATCTTTAGAAATAGAATTTGAAGACTACAAATAGCTCACATCTTCACACACAAGTTCCAATGTTTAGATAATGTGACCTTTGAGTTTTAGCGCCGCTTATTTTCTTTTCATCTTCTCACCTTTCTTTTTTCTTTCTCATGTCAACCTTTTGGAAATATAATTTGAACATCATCTTTGTTCTTCTAACATTTTGTCTTTAGAAATTGATTGTGAACCTAAAAATAGTCCACGTTATCATTGGTTTTGCAGTTTAATGCCACTGTGTCTTTTTAACTCATCTGCTCACCTCTTATCTTTCCTTCTCAGATCACCTTTTTGGAGATAGAATTTGAACTTCATCTTTCTTCTTCTTTCTTCTTCTCACATTTTTTTCTTTAGAAATTGAATATGAAGCTAAATATAGTCCATATCATCACTGATTTTGCAATTTAGTTTCACCGTTTTTTTCTAACGCATCATCACAAATTTGTTAAGTTTAATACTGATATTTCTTTCTCTCACATATTCTCACTTTGTCTTTTCTTCTCAGATTCTATCTTTAGAAATAGAATTTGAAGGCTGCAAATAGCTCACATCTTTACACACAAGTTTCGAAGTTCAGATATTCATCTTTACACACAAGTTTCAAAGTTCAGATAATGTGACCTTTGAGTTTTAGCGCCGCTTCTTTTCTTTTTATCTTTACACGCAAGTTTTGAAGTTTAGATAATGTTAGCTTTAAGTTTTAGCGCCACTTCTTTTCTTTTCATCTTCTCACCTCTTGTCTTTCCTCATCATTTTAAGTATCTTAAATTAGAATGTAAATTATGTGTCTTGCGTCATTACATAAAACTTTAAAAACTCTTGAAAATTGTAACTTCAAGAGTCTTAGCACCATTTCTTTCTCTCTCAATGTCTCACCCGATGCATCTAGCCAAGCCAACTCTCACCTCCAAAGCACCATCTTTCTGCACCCATAGCGAGCATCAAAGCCCATTCTATAAAACCTCATAAATTTATTACGGTAGGTCTTGGTAAAGTTAAGGGGTAGGTAGCTATGTTTGTCAAGCTGCCAATGAGTGGATATGTACCAATTCGGTAACCAATAGGAAGGCTGCTAAGGTTGATGTCCTTATTACTTGGAATTTTCCTCCTGTTGGTTGGTGGAAACTAAATACTGATGGCTGCAGGAAAGGTGAGGAAGGGATTATTGGTGCTGGTGGTGTAATCAGAAATGCCAATGGGGACTGGGTTGGTGGATTCTCTGCTAATATTGGGAGGGGGTCTGTTTTACAAGCTGAGTTATGGGCCATCCTCTATGGTCTGCGGCTTGCTAACCAAACCAATCTAACTATTTTCCCCTTATTGTGGAGTCTGATTCCTGTTTGGCGGTGGATCTTGTGAATGCGCTTAGTTGTGACCCTCTTCACCCATTGTTCACTCTTATCTCTAGTTGTAAAGCTATCATGACTGGTGGTGTTTGTCGTATTCATCATGTCTTCAGAGAAAGCAATTCTGTTGATGATATGCTTGCTTCTATTGGGGTCACCAAGCCTTTGGGTCTCCATAATTCGTTTACTGCTCCTGCTGCTGTGAATCAGTTAATCTTTAAGGATATGTGTAGGGTGTGCTTATCCAGACTTATTGTTCCTTAGTGTTTTGTTGGGCTTTGCCCTCCTCTTTACCAAAAAAAAAAAAAAGTTAAGGGGTAAGAAAGATGAATAATGTTCGTACACGCCAAAAAAATCTCAAAAGATATTTTGGCAATCCGACCAAGATGAATGATTATGTCATTTACTGGATGATCGTCTGGGTTGGAAAGAATTTTCAATGATCAATTCAATATGCATCTAGAATCTGGTTTAGAAAAATAAAAAAGAATCTGGTTTTGCCCATTTTTAAAGCTCTGCCACGTGACGTGGGTGTGCCTGATTCGTTGCTAGAATATCGGCCAGTAGGCTCCCTCACCTGCTCTGCTCTGATGCCTTCCACCTGTTTTTCAATATTTTTCTTAAAATTCTATTGGTCCTTCATTTAGACACATGGGTCCCACGCATAATTTGTTGTTTAGAAAAGGAAGAAATTTCTCTTTGGTCAGCACAAACTATCAAAGCGAATTGGCTGGTCAAATTATGAATACAAAGTTTGACAAGTAAGCCCCAAAAAAAAAAAAAAAAAGCAATTATTCTATGAAGAAATGGAGTGATGGTGGAGTGCTACTTACTTTCTCTTTGCAAATAAACCATAGGCCCCTAGTTTGTTGGAGTTGGTAATTGACACTTTGATTTGATTAAAAGATCAGTGGTGAGACATTGAAAGATCTGCTCCCAATAATTTTGAATTTAAGAAACTTTCTCATTCACGCATCGTTTTTCTTTTGTAAATTGTGAATTGTGACATGGGAAACTCATCATTATGATAAAATGTCAATGCTTCGATAAAATATGAAAGTTTTTTTTGTACGTGGTTGGTAGAGTGCGCTGAACTTTCACACACATTTATGAGTGATACACTATTTAAGTGTTAGACTACAAAAAGAAAGAAAAATATAAACCAAGCAAGTACGAAAAGTTTAAAGCATAATTTCCAATAAGGAAAAGCAACTTGTATATTAAGGGGGTGCAAACTTTAGGTGGGCTCCCTGTTCACATTGAGTTTGAAAGGCCTTTAACCCATAGATTCATACATGCAAACTCGCCCTATGGGAATAAAATTTGAACATTATCTATGCTTCCCATCTCGACCCTAGAAATTAGTTTTTTAATTTTTTTGATAAAGTAACATTCTCGACTACTCTAATGTACGAAGATGTGGATTGAACTCGGATATAAGAAAGCTGGCATACTACTTTGGTCAACTGGCCTAATTAACATATGCACCTTATACATTAGTTAGCTTGACGATTTTGGGCAAAATATAAGATAATTCCTGATGCAACAATTAATTGAGTGCTAAAAACTGTATGTCAAAGCTCTGCATCGAAGTCATTGAATAGATTTCTTGGGATTAGCTTGGTTTTCGATTCCTATAGATTTATGGGTTATAACATGGGCTCATCTGCCAACCCTTCAAATAGCAAACACTTGGGCTTGGGCTAAAGTAGTAAAAGCTAGGCCCATATTTCATCCTTGGAATACATTGTAAGTATCATAGGCACAATAAAAACCCATATTACATCAAAATTCCACCAAAGTCAAGGTCATGACATCTGTAAGAGCATCAACAATCATACTCTCTATTTTTTAGTTAAAATTTAACTTAAAACATATAAAGTTATTTTAGGAGCTTCCTATAAAATTTAAACTCCAATGATGCTCTTTAGTTTAGGGAGTCATAAATATTATAACTCTTTTTTAATTGGTGAATCTCTATTAAAAAATAATTTATAAAATAGTTAGCATTAATTAAAGGTTTGAAATACTCATTAAATAAAGCAGCATTAAATTATAGGGAGTTACTAAGGGCTAGTTTGGGATTACTATCACTTTTAAAAAAAAGTTGCTTTTGTTGTGCTTTGAAAATAATTAGTTGTAAAGTGAAGCAGCTCTATACTTGGGAAAACAATACTTTTAAAGTGTTGTTAATACAAAAAGCAGTGTTAAAACTGTTTAGTAAATTTTAATATAAAACTGCTGTACATGTGAATAGTGACTAAAATAGACATCATGTTGAAAGCGTTATGTGCTAATCATATGGTGGTAGTGGTGGTGGTTAGGGCAACCAGGGCCACCGCCCGAGGCCCACGATTGAGAAGGGCACAAAAAAAAATTATATTAGCTTATATATATGTATACGATCAGACAAAAAAATATATATGTATATGCAAAACAAAATTATAAGTGCTCATAAAAAAATGAAATAACTAAAAGTAATGGGTATGGCTAAATTATATTGCCTCTTTACTCAACTGGTGTACAATTTACCTTATTTCCATTTTCAACATTTAAGTAAATGTCTTTGTCCTTTTACTTTCATTTATTTTTATATTATTCCATTTACTTAAGTTTACAATGTAAATAAGGAAGTACCCCCCATTTGGATTCAAATAAAAATACTAGAAAATCAAATTCCCGCCAAATAAAAATATGAAAAATCGGTTTTAGTGCAAAATACGATTTATGCTAAAAATGATGGCTCATTAAGTCAATATATATTTCATACTGAAATTCCATAAAATCAAGTTTTCTTATTTGATGTGTTCTCTCTCTCTCTCTCTCTCTCTCTCTCTCTCTCACCCAAAGCACGCATCTCCTCCCTGGGTTTCTCTAAACAATGATTTGCTTATTAGGCTTTTGGTTTTTGTCTCAAATGGTGAGGAAGGCTATTTCAATCGATTCTCATACTTGCAAATTGCAATACACTAGTTAATGAGTTTTGTCAAATTGGGTCGGTAATTATTTAGAATGGGTTATGGATAATTTAGTTTGATGGGGATTAGGTGTCTTGAGAGCTAGCTGGGCGGGTGGGTGCTGTTGGGCGTAGATGGTGGTTGCTAGGTGGCTGGTGGTGTTTGGGTGGTGGCTTGTTTGGTGCGGGCTGGGAAGGAAGTGATGAAGTTTTTAATATTTTTTTAATATTCTAAAATAATTTTTTAAAATTCTTAACATCCACGCTGGATTTACACTTAGATGAGTTACATAAGTCCTTATAAGTTATTTTACAAAAAGATAAACTTGTCTTTAAAATTTTAAAGATATAGTGGGTGAGAAAATATAACAAGATGATGGAAATAGCAGCACTCAATTAATTATTTGATTAAAAAAATAATAATTTATGAATAAAGGGCACACTCTTAGAGTTTTGCCTTGGGCCTTCAATCACCCAGGGCCGACCCTAGTGGTGGTGGGGGTGGTGGTGAGGATGGTGGTTGTGGAAGTGGAGGTGGCGGAGGTTGAAGAGGAGGTGGTGGTGGTGGTGGTGGTAGTGGTGAAGGTGGAGGAGGAGTTCGTGGTTGTGGTGGTGGTGGTGGCAAAGAAGGAGGAGGAGGTGGCAGTGGCGGTGGCGGTGGAGGTGGTGGCAAATGTGGTAGAAGTAGAAGTGGTGTCATTTTTAAAAATTAATGATGGTATTTTGGGAATTAAAAAAATTCATTAAAGACGAGCTTCAAAGTCCACTCAAGAAAAATGAATAATGTTCGTACACGCCCAAAAAATCTCAAAAGATATTTTGGCAATCTAACCAAGATGAATGATTATGTCATTCAATGACTAAATCGTCTGGGTTGGAAAGAATATTCTATGAGGATTCTGAATTCAATTCGATATGCATCTATATTTTGGTTTAGGAAAATGAAAAAGAACCTGGTTTTGCCGATTTTTCAAGCTTTGCCACATGATGTGGGCGTGCCTGATTCGTCTCTAGAATATCGGCCAGTCAGGCATTTAGGCTCCCTCACCTGCTCTTATGCCTTCCACGCATAAAAATTAAAAATAATTACCATTTTGGTAAGAAAATAATGAAACTTCTTTTGGTGAATAAACAAAGCACTATCCTCCACACAAGAAACTAAGGGGTCGTTTGGTACGGCGGACTGTCATGGACTGGACTAAATCCTGGGACTGTCTTGGACTGGACTAAATCCTGGGACTGTCTTGGATTAGCTCGGATTGGACTAAGCTGGATTAAGTACTGACCTACGTTTGGTGCTGCGTCGGACTAAGAAGCTGAGTTGTAAAAATAGTGAAGACCTATGTTTGGTGCTGTGTCGGACTAAAAAATAATTCTTGTAATATTTAAATTTAATTTGAAATTTTGACCTAAAAATAAATAAATGCTACAAAGAAACACAATTCAAAGATTTAAAACAATAAAACAAATAAAATTATGATTGTTTATGAAGAATAAAATTTTGATTTTTTTTTTTTGGCTTCTCAAGATTTATCTTAGTTGCTCCTTAGCCTTGCCCCAAGACTACTACAAATCTTCTATTTTTTGTTGGTCGAAACATTACTAAGGAGCTAAACTCACTCTATATAATT